TTTGTGGCACTACTGCCATTTACGACTTCCACACTTAAGCTACGCTATGCACGTCACGCTATCACTCCAACGCGCAAATTTTCAACGTGCACATCTTCATCACCTTTCGCGCCATCCTGCTTGAGCGGTTCCTGCTGCCATCAAGCAATTCCACCAATCATCGCACGTATTCAAACGATTCCACCAATGATCGCCAATTACTCCTGAAATAACCAATAGATTTGCTTACAATTTCCCCCCTGAGTAGTTCGGAATCTAGAGGCGTCTTCGTGGGCATATGAACGGAACCAAAGCTCGCCGCCGCCCCGCATCGAAAGCTCATTTCTAAAAATGCTGACAAGCACTCAAGCGCCTACAATGTCGTGATCGCGCCCGGCTCCCTGCGTCCTCTCATCCGACCTCTACCGAACCCAAATTGCTGCTGTCTACTGGGGCGGCATGCTCGCGGGCCCGGACATGCCCGTCACCGACGCCATGCCGACAGCCCCCGCCATGCCCGGCACCGACGCCACGGACAATATGCCCAAGGCCCCCGACACGGACGGCATGGCCAAGGCCCCCGACATGGACGACATGGACGACACGGACGGCATGGCCAAGGTCCCCGAAGTACCCGGCACGGACAGCATGCTCGGTGTCCTCCCCAAGCTCGGCTCAGTGAGCCTGTGTGCAGTCCCGGATGGTCCCGGCAAGCAATCCACGATCGAAGCCCCCAACATACCCGGCACCAGACGACCTCGTCTAGTTCAGCACGCCCGTGGTCCCCGACCAGCCCTGCGCGAGCAGCACGCTCGCGGACCCAGACCATCACGGCACGGATGGCAGACCCGCGGCCCCCGATCTGCTCGACACGGACCCCATGCCCGCGGACCCAAAGCACCCCCAATACGGACGGCACGTCCACGGCTTTGATCAAGCCCGGAATGGACTGCATGCTCGCGGACCAGTCCGGCCCGGAGCGGATCTCATGCACGCGGCCACCGATCAGCCCGACTCGGGCTGCATACCGATCCTCTACTACATCGACTTGGACAATACGCTTGCAGTCCCCGCCAAGCCCGATACGGAGCGCACGTTCGTGGCGATCGACAACTTCGGCACTGACGGCATGCCCGCGCCTCTCTAGAGGCCTTGCGTGGACGGCATGGCCGCGGTCGCTCAGAAGCTGGACATGTACAACGCGCTTTCGGGTCTCGACCAGCCCCACATGGAAAGCCTGTCGTAGCTCCCAGCGAGGCTCGTAGATCGGCGGACGACCGCAGCTCAGGATAGTTTTAGCTTACATTAGATTAACGGAGCAATACATCAAGCCGTTTGAACTGCTATGCTCACACTCGGCGTGCCACCCTTCCTGGGTTATCAGGGCCAAGCACGCGATGATCAAGTCGGACATGTCGAGGCCGGGGAGCGTGCCGTCCGTCCCAGGCATATTAAGAGCCGCCGGGATGTAGGCGGTGCCGGGTAGGTAGGGGACCGCGGGCGTAGCATGCTTAGTGGGTTTACCAGGGCCATGCATGGAGTAGTCGAGTCGGCCATGATGGGATCCTCGGGCACGGCGTCCGTTTCGGGCATGGCGGGGGCATCGGTCATGTGGGCGGCCTCGGGCATGGCGGTGGCATCGTGAATGGCGTGAAATGCGAGTGGAGCGTGCTGAGTGATCCAGCGCTTGGGTAGAGATACCCCAACCTCGATAGGATTTAGTTGGGGGGGGGGGTACGGAGGCAAGAACAGTAGGATACTACCACGCGAATGCACCAATTCTTCAAGGTCGCGGTCAGGGCAGCCGAAAAATAAATTGACGCTCAAGTAATTGTTATAAATATTATTGCATAATTTATGAGCGGTGGCTTAGACCGTACCATTATTTATGATACCAGATTACTATTCCACACTCATAATTTATGATACTATCTCACGAACGGTGCGGAAGACGGCGGCGAGGATCCAGAGGGCTCGTTTGTCCAGCGTCTCGAGAAGCGTCGCCGGCTCGAGGCGCGAACGCCCCGCTACGACCTCATCTCCAGCATCCCGCCGACCTCGAACAAGGTCGAGCGGTTTTCAGCGTGGCGCGTACCACGTTTGCTCAAGAGCGCAACAGTCTCCAGTCCGCTACGCTGGAAACAATTTTGTTTCTGCGTGAGAATGGTGACTTCTGGGACGTTTCGACAGTCGATAGCGTCAATTAGTGTGAGTAACAGTACGTCTAATACCCCGTTGAAGTTGCACCACATTATTTATTTATTGCTCGAATACATTACATAATTTATGCAGATACAAATGACAAGATCCTGGCATTATTTATGAGGCTCTATCTGCGCTAATAAATGACAATACCATATTCGGCAGCCCTGCTCGCGGTACATGTGGATTTTTGCGTTATCTAGGATAACAATGGACCTGAAAAACAAAATGAAAACTATAGCGAGTCACAGCATCTAACCACTGCTTGCAAGTACCTCGGGAGCGGCCATGGATTAATGTACGGAGCATTTTTTTGTTCTGAAAGCCTCGTGAAAAGCTAAACGATCAAAGGTTCCTGTAGTAGACTCCCACGTGAAAAGGCGCACACGTCAAAAGCGGCTAAGACCGATCGTCTTTCACCTCTAGTAAACGGCAGGCTAACTATTGCCGGCAGGGCAGCCGAAAAATAAATTGACGCTCAAGTAATTGTTATAAATATTATTGCATAATTTATGAGCGGTGGCTTAGACCGTACCATTATTTATGATACCAGATTACTATTCCACACTCATAATTTATGATACTATCTCACGAACGGTGCGGAAGACGGCGGCGAGGATCCAGAGGGCTCGTTTGTCCAGCGTCTCGAGAAGCGTCGCCGGCTCGAGGCGCGAACGCCCCGCTACGACCTCATCTCCAGCATCCCGCCGACCTCGAACAAGGTCGAGCGGTTTTCAGCGTGGCGCGTACCACGTTTGCTCAAGAGCGCAACAGTCTCCAGTCCGCTACGCTGGAAACAATTTTGTTTCTGCGTGAGAATGGTGACTTCTGGGACGTTTCGACAGTCGATAGCGTCAATTAGTGTGAGTAACAGTACGTCTAATACCCCGTTGAAGTTGCACCACATTATTTATTTATTGCTCGAATACATTACATAATTTATGCAGATACAAATGACAAGATCCTGGCATTATTTATGAGGCTCTATCTGCGCTAATAAATGACAATACCATATTCGGCAGCCCTGCTCGCGGTACATGTGGATTTTTGCGTTATCTAGGATAACAATGGACCTGAAAAACAAAATGAAAACTATAGCGAGTCGCAGCATCTAACCACTGCTTGCAAGTACCTCGGGAGCGGCCATGGATTAATGTACGGAGCATTTTTTTGTTCTGAAAGCCTCGTGAAAAGCTAAACGATCAAAGGTTCCTGTAGTAGACTCCCACGCGAAAAAGGCGCCCACGTCAAAAGCGGCTAAGACCGATCGTCTTTCACCTCTAGTAAACGGCAGGCTAACTATTGCCGACAGGGCAGCCGAAAAATAAATTGACGCTCAAGTAATTGTTATAAATATTATTGCATAATTTATGAGCGGTGGCTTAGACCGTACCATTATTTATGATACCAGATTACTATTCCACACTCATAATTTATGATACTATCTCACGAACGGTGCGGAAGACGGCGGCGAGGATCCAGAGGGCTCGTTTGTCCAGCGTCTCGAGAAGCGTCGCCGGCTCGAGGCGCGAACGCCCCGCTACGACCTCATCTCCAGCATCCCGCCGACCTCGAACAAGGTCGAGCGGTTTTCAGCGTGGCGCGTACCACGTTTGCTCAAGAGCGCAACAGTCTCCAGTCCGCTACGCTGGAAACAATTTTGTTTCTGCGTGAGAATGGTGACTTCTGGGACGTTTCGACAGTCGATAGCGTCAATTAGTGTGAGTAACAGTACGTCTAATACCCCGTTGAAGTTGCACCACATTATTTATTTATTGCTCGAATACATTACATAATTTATGCAGATACAAATGACAAGATCCTGGCATTATTTATGAGGCTCTATCTGCGCTAATAAATGACAATACCATATTCGGCAGCCCTGCTCGCGGTACATGTGGATTTTTGCGTTATCTAGGATAACAATGGACCTGAAAAACAAAATGAAAACTATAGCGAGTCGCAGCATCGAACCACTGCTTGCAAGTACCTCGGGAGCGGCCATGGATTAATGTACGGAGCATTTTTTTGTTCTGAAAGCCTCGTGAAAAGCTAAACGATCAAAGGTTCCTGTAGTAGACTCCCACGCGAAAAAGGCGCCCACGTCAAAAGCGGCTAAGACCGATCGTCTTTCACCTCTAGTAAACGGCAGGCTAACTATTGCCGGCAGGGCAGCCGAAAAATAAATTGACGCTCAAGTAATTGTTATAAATATTATTGCATAATTTATGAGCGGTGGCTTAGACCGTACCATTATTTATGATACCAGATTACTATTCCACACTCATAATTTATGATACTATCTCACGAACGGTGCGGAAGACGGCGGCGAGGATCCAGAGGGCTCGTTTGTCCAGCGTCTCGAGAAGCGTCGCCGGCTCGAGGCGCGAACGCCCCGCTACGACCTCATCTCCAGCATCCCGCCGACCTCGAACAAGGTCGAGCGGTTTTCAGCGTGGCGCGTACCACGTTTGCTCAAGAGCGCAACAGTCTCCAGTCCGCTACGCTGGAAACAATTTTGTTTCTGCGTGAGAATGGTGACTTCTGGGACGTTTCGACAGTCGATAGCGTCAATTAGTGTGAGTAACAGTACGTCTAATACCCCGTTGAAGTTGCACCACATTATTTATTTATTGCTCGAATACATTACATAATTTATGCAGATACAAATGACAAGATCCTGGCATTATTTATGAGGCTCTATCTGCGCTAATAAATGACAATACCATATTCGGCAGCCCTGCTCGCGGTACATGTGGATTTTTGCGTTATCTAGGATAACAATGGACCTGAAAAACAAAATGAAAACTATAGCGAGTCACAGCATCTAACCACTGCTTGCAAGTACCTCGGGAGCGGCCATGGATTAATGTACGGAGCATTTTTTTGTTCTGAAAGCCTCGTGAAAAGCTAAACGATCAAAGGTTCCTGTAGTAGACTCCCACGCGAAAAAGGCGCCCACGTCAAAAGCGGCTAAGACCGATCGTCTTTCACCTCTAGTAAACGGCAGGCTAACTATTGCCGGCAGGGCAGCCGAAAAATAAATTGACGCTCAAGTAATTGTTATAAATATTATTGCATAATTTATGAGCGGTGGCTTAGACCGTACCATTATTTATGATACCAGATTACTATTCCACACTCATAATTTATGATACTATCTCACGAACGGTGCGGAAGACGGCGGCGAGGATCCAGAGGGCTCGTTTGTCCAGCGTCTCGAGAAGCGTCGCCGGCTCGAGGCGCGAACGCCCCGCTACGACCTCATCTCCAGCATCCCGCCGACCTCGAACAAGGTCGAGCGGTTTTCAGCGTGGCGCGTACCACGTTTGCTCAAGAGCGCAACAGTCTCCAGTCCGCTACGCTGGAAACAATTTTGTTTCTGCGTGAGAATGGTGACTTCTGGGACGTTTCGACAGTCGATAGCGTCAATTAGTGTGAGTAACAGTACGTCTAATACCCCGTTGAAGTTGCACCACATTATTTATTTATTGCTCGAATACATTACATAATTTATGCAGATACAAATGACAAGATCCTGGCATTATTTATGAGGCTCTATCTGCGCTAATAAATGACAATACCATATTCGGCAGCCCTGCTCGCGGTACATGTGGATTTTTGCGTTATCTAGGATAACAATGGACCTGAAAAACAAAATGAAAACTATAGCGAGTCGCAGCATCTAACCACTGCTTGCAAGTACCTCGGGAGCGGCCATGGATTAATGTACGGAGCATTTTTTTGTTCTGAAAGCCTCGTGAAAAGCTAAACGATCAAAGGTTCCTGTAGTAGACTCCCACGCGAAAAAGGCGCCCACGTCAAAAGCGGCTAAGACCGATCGTCTTTCACCTCTAGTAAACGGCAGGCTAACTATTGCCGACAGGGCAGCCGAAAAATAAATTGACGCTCAAGTAATTGTTATAAATATTATTGCATAATTTATGAGCGGTGGCTTAGACCGTACCATTATTTATGATACCAGATTACTATTCCACACTCATAATTTATGATACTATCTCACGAACGGTGCGGAAGACGGCGGCGAGGATCCAGAGGGCTCGTTTGTCCAGCGTCTCGAGAAGCGTCGCCGGCTCGAGGCGCGAACGCCCCGCTACGACCTCATCTCCAGCATCCCGCCGACCTCGAACAAGGTCGAGCGGTTTTCAGCGTGGCGCGTACCACGTTTGCTCAAGAGCGCAACAGTCTCCAGTCCGCTACGCTGGAAACAATTTTGTTTCTGCGTGAGAATGGTGACTTCTGGGACGTTTCGACAGTCGATAGCGTCAATTAGTGTGAGTAACAGTACGTCTAATACCCGTTGAAGTTGCACCACATTATTTATTTATTGCTCGAATACATTACATAATTTATGCAGATACAAATGACAAGATCCTGGCATTATTTATGAGGCTCTATCTGCGCTAATAAATGAAAATACCATATTCGGCAGCCCTGCTCGCGGTACATGTGGATTTTTGCGTTATCTAGGATAACAATGGACCTGAAAAACAAAATGAAAACTATAGCGAGTCACAGCATCGAACCACTGCTTGCAAGTACCTCGGGAGCGGCCATGGATTAATGTACGGAGCATTTTTTGTTCTGAAAGCCTCGTGAAAAGCTAAACGATCAAAGGTTCCTGTAGTAGACTCCCACGCGAAAAAGACGCCCACGTCAAAAGCGGCTAAGACCGATCGTCTTTCACCTCTAGTAAACGGCAGGCTAACTATTGCCGGCAGGGCAGCCGAAAAATAAATTGACGCTCAAGTAATTGTTATAAATATTATTGCATAATTTATGAGCGGTGGCTTAGACCGTACCATTATTTATGATACCAGATTACTATTCCACACTCATAATTTATGATACTATCTCACGAACGGTGCGGAAGACGGCGGCGAGGATCCAGAGGGCTCGTTTGTCCAGCGTCTCGAGAAGCGTCGCCGGCTCGAGGCGCGAACGCCCCGCTACGACCTCATCTCCAGCATCCCGCCGACCTCGAACAAGGTCGAGCGGTTTTCAGCGTGGCGCGTACCACGTTTGCTCAAGAGCGCAACAGTCTCCAGTCCGCTACGCTGGAAACAATTTTGTTTCTGCGTGAGAATGGTGACTTCTGGGACGTTTCGACAGTCGATAGCGTCAATTAGTGTGAGTAACAGTACGTCTAATACCCGTTGAAGTTGCACCACATTATTTATTTATTGCTCGAATACATTACATAATTTATGCAGATACAAATGACAAGATCCTGGCATTATTTATGAGGCTCTATCTGCGCTAATAAATGAAAATACCATATTCGGCAGCCCTGCTCGCGGTACATGTGGATTTTTGCGTTATCTAGGATAACAATGGACCTGAAAAACAAAATGAAAACTATAGCGAGTCACAGCATCGAACCACTGCTTGCAAGTACCTCGGGAGCGGCCATGGATTAATGTACGGAGCATTTTTTGTTCTGAAAGCCTCGTGAAAAGCTAAACGATCAAAGGTTCCTGTAGTAGACTCCCACGCGAAAAAGGCGCCCACGTCAAAAGCGGCTAAGACCGATCGTCTTTCACCTCTAGTAAACGGCAGGCTAACTATTGCCGGCAGGGCAGCCGAAAAATAAATTGACGCTCAAGTAATTGTTATAAATATTATTGCATAATTTATGAGCGGTGGCTTAGACCGTACCATTATTTATGATACCAGATTACTATTCCACACTCATAATTTATGATACTATCTCACGAACGGTGCGGAAGACGGCGGCGAGGATCCAGAGGGCTCGTTTGTCCAGCGTCTCGAGAAGCGTCGCCGGCTCGAGGCGCGAACGCCCCGCTACGACCTCATCTCCAGCATCCCGCCGACCTCGAACAAGGTCGAGCGGTTTTCAGCGTGGCGCGTACCACGTTTGCTCAAGAGCGCAACAGTCTCCAGTCCGCTACGCTGGAAACAATTTTGTTTCTGCGTGAGAATGGTGACTTCTGGGACGTTTCGACAGTCGATAGCGTCAATTAGTGTGAGTAACAGTACGTCTAATACCCGTTGAAGTTGCACCACATTATTTATTTATTGCTCGAATACATTACATAATTTATGCAGATACAAATGACAAGATCCTGGCATTATTTATGAGGCTCTATCTGCGCTAATAAATGAAAATACCATATTCGGCAGCCCTGATTGCCGGTGTATTCCTACGGGACCACACATACTTTCAAAGCGCATCGTGGCCATCTTTAGAAGTTTCGTCAACAAAAACTAATTGGTCCGGTCCGCTGTATAGCGAACGTAGTTTTCAATATAAACCTGATAGTTCTACCGGCACGCTTTCGCGCGTGCGCTTCGTAAGTACGTTTCTGGTAATATTGAGGTCAAAGCGGGGCAGTCTACAGATCGTAGGTGTGGATGCGTTAAGCATTCCATTAAACCTTTCCTTTACCGCTGCCTGTAATTCCTCCAGGTAGAAACATGGATGGAGCTTTATGTAGTCTTCTACAAATGCAATAGCTTCTGGTGGCCATCGGGACGACTTAGTTCTCTCACTTTGAGACAAGCTCTTACCGTGGCTCTTAAACAAGCGGTTCCATCTTTCGATAGATCGAACAGAAACACCTGGCACAGATGCAACTAGTGCCATCCCGATGTCGTACATGTAGAGCAGGACAATGACCCGCTAGCGGAGATCTGTCGAGACTGTCATCCTGCACTACACACGCGCTAAATACGCAAATATGCAAATAAACCGCTATGTTGTGATGGCGGTGGGTGAGTTACAGCGGGCCTGGCACGATTGGCGGCTAGCCACCCGCCAAACAGACCGCAACCAAATATTTTTGCGTTAAAAATACGTAATTAGCTGGTGCAACCATCTTACACCGACTTTAATCAGGCTTATTTCAGGATCGGTTGGATTAGGGTCCGCCTAAATGCGCCTAAATAGGAAGGGCAACCGCCATTTTGGGTGAAAGGCAATATATAAAAAATTAAATTCGCGAAAACTAATAACTGTTTTTAGACAGTCACGTCTAGAATGTTTGTTTCTTAAAAACGGAGAAGAATCTAGTTCTAAGCGTAATTTTCCACACAAACACTAGGATAAGTTTGGGTGTATCATCTTCATAATTGATGTACTATGTGCCCAAATATGTTAGAGGTGTCAAACATGTCTAGCGTTCCGGAGATATTGTGACAAATTCTTAACTTTTAATTTAAAAACAAGCAAATAAATGTTATTTTTGCTTTACAAATAATGTAGTCTCCATCGCTCGCAGCGATGGCGTATTGTTCTCTCGACGAAGGTGATTCCATGCGGGTCAACTTGGCCCGACGCGCCACGATCAGCATGCCCAGGACAGCGATCTCCATGGCAAGGCCACTTTCCACTTGCGGTATACGCAGGCCCGCCAAACGCTGTCGTAATGCCTGTTTCCAATGAAAGAGTCACCTACCAATCCGGGAACTGACTGTGAACCGAGTCGATCAGGTTTTGCGCAAAGTCGACGACCAGCGTACCAGGTTGAAGTTGCTGGTCAGCAGCGTCGACCATAATCCCGAGCATTCCTCGATACATTGCAGCCGTGCCGTTCCAGCCAATGGGTATACCACTGGAACTAACACACAACCTGCGGGGTCTCTCACCATAAGAATAGCGCACTGCTCAAACGACCTTGGCACAGAGCGGAATGTCCCGTCAATGAACATTTGGGCACCGGGGTACCGAAGCAGCTCCAACAGGCGAGGGTGTACCCAGCCCAAAATGCGTTGAAGCTCGGAACCTTCGTAGTAGACGTGGTGGTATTGGAAAAATACCAGTGGAGCGCCAGTCATGAGCGCTAGGCCGGGAACTTCAACAGTGCTGGTTGACCCTTGTTCACATCTTCCCAAATGACCAAATGAGCTGAGCCGTGCGGCCCTGGAGTATAAAGACGCGGCAGCTTCAAGCTCCATCTGCCTCGTCACATTTGTTCTCGCGCGAGGAACGATGACGTTATCTCGGCAGGTGTGGGGCACAAAGTTGACGTATGCCCCAAATTAAAGCTCGATGCCCACCCTGCATCTGTCCACCGGTAGATGCTGCAGTGGCATAGGCCCCGTACGCTTGATTGCTGGGTCTTTGTGTTAAGCAGAATGTCCAGCTTAAAGAATATTGCTCGACATCTTTACTTCACTCCCGGCGGATCGCGTGTGCCACCGTCAACTTAACCATAATCACCAGACGCACCGGAATTTACCATCAACAGTAGGCCTGTGGTAGTGAAGCAGGTCGGCAAGAAAAGGGTGCATCCAACCAATTATTAGTGTAGGCTTGCTAACGTTTTCGCGGCTCAGTGTGTTTTGATGAAACTGAAAAACGGAGGCAGCCCCGTGCAGTGCCGTCGAAACTGGTGGGTTTTTGATGACCCCGTTTCCGTCCTCGCTAAAGTACCGTCTCCTTGCTTGGTACACATGTTTAGGAACTTGAGGCTTGGAGAGCCCATGGACGGTATGCTCGTCATAAGCAGCTTAAAACTAACCCTGTACAGCTTCCTCCGCGCGGCGTACAGGGAACGCAACTTGCTCGATGGCCAGGGCTTTGACTGTGTTCATCAATGTGCTGGCGGCGACTATGAGGCTTGTATCAGCAGCATCGCCATTACGGCAAGTATCCATGCGACCAGAGGTGCGTTAACATGTATTGGATGACGGTCGAGATTACACGAATACATGCGCTTATAGTGGGCGCAACAGTCTCGGGGTCGTATGCGCCCGGGCGTCCACCCGGACGTTCCTGTGAAATACAGTTTAAACGTGTAGGTGATGTGCAATAACACCTTGAAGGCACTGCCTCGGGCGTTTTGGCGGCTACATCCTCTCGATCTACCTAACGAAGCGGTAACCGTACTCTCCGAGACGTACAGACACGTGACAACAATATGCTGGTTACGGCGCTCACCTCGGTATCTTCCTTTCGACCTCTAAGGATAAAGTTGTAATCACTGACGATCCTATCTGTTTACTTTCTCGGCGTCTGGTAGTGCTGATTGGCTGTTTGAAGTTTGATATCAAATAAAGGACTCGTGGACTTTCACATTCGGGTAATTTTGAGCTACACGAGTCCATTTTAGCTACTGTCACCCTCCTCCGTTTGAAAATAGGCGCAACAAACGATTCAGGATTGGATATACTCATCTGAATGATCTAATGGACTGCTTTTTTGTTGTGAATGTCGGACAGGTCTGGCCGCACGATTGTCAATCGTCGATTTAGTCAGGGCTGTTGCCTACCCCAGCTGATTATAGTTCAAACATTTACCGTTATTGGCATGCTCGCGCTTGATTCGGTGCACGAACGTGAGCCGAGGTCGGGACAAGACTCATTGACGCCAGTACGTTTGGCTCCCATGACCTATGGGCCACGGACCACGTACATGTACATCATCAGTGAAGAGATTTCTTTGAAAAGTCCGCGATCTCGACTTGCAGGTGGAGTTGTGGCCTAAATAGCTGTTGGCCACAATGTGCGTTTCGCTCTGTATCGCCAATTGGCAGGGAAATTAATGACCGTGTAGACCTATTCGCATTTAGCGGTACAACGCCAAGGCTCATGTTCCGCGTCGTCGTCGCTACGGGTACCACCGACGGTTAGAATATACACTTGATATTCTAACCGGGTAGTTCACCAGACCCAATTTGGCTTGAGATATGGGCTTGTTTGCCTCGTGCAGTGCCTCCGCTATGAGTGACGGGGAGGCGGTTGGTCCCTATTGCAAGGCGAAAATGTTTTAAGTAAGATAGTTTTGCTCGATGCACCATGCAGCGTTTTACACCGCTTTTTCGATAACACCAATACAAATTAGAAGAGGTACCGGGTATAAAATTTGGGGTATGTAAAACGCTCCATAATGCATCGTTTTACACTATGTTTCGCCAGCACTACTATTGGTCCAAAATTAAACGCCTATATCTGATTGGGCAACAATTGTTAAACGGTGCGGTGCATTGTGCAGTGGTCTAAAACAAAACGGTACAACTTCGACAGCCTTCTCTACTTCGGTTTATCGTGATAGTTGATAATTTTGGCAGTTTTAGTTGGAGGTAATTTGAGGATGCTCAGATGAGATGTGCCGTTGTTGTGTTTATTTAAAAACAGAAGAACTAATACGTATTCTGGTGCTAAAATTTCTGGCTTCAACTTTAATGAGTCCGTACAATATATAGCGCAATCACTTCCTTAAATGCATAAAAACGTGCTTCGCGATGCCGATTCATGACTTGACAGGGTTCTCTGATGAAGTAGCAGGGATTCACGATTTAGATTTAGGGAGGCGGGCGTATGATATCTTCACGTCCACAGACGTATGGCGTAGCACCGGAGCCAATGGGTCTTCCACAACGACCATAAGAATATACCAGCGTTTGTTCCGAACATCGGTGTATAGGTTTTATCATCTTCCTCCGACGCGTATCAAAAGACTACAACTGAAACCTTTTATTTGTCCCGTTGCATCCGCCCCTCATTAAACTTACCTTGACTTCACTATACAGATCAGGAACTAGAACGATTTTGAAGAAAAATATCATTATATAAAGATATGACCGCCCATCAAGCAAACGCACGTCGGGTTGTAATGCAACTATCGCTGTGCTACGACTTAGAAACGACGCGAGATGAATGATAGCGAAGTAGCTCTTCCTAGCGCTCTGTGCTATGCCCCAGACACGGCAAGACTATTGGCGACCGTAGATGGTCTGCGCAGACGCTTGCATGACGAGTACCGGCGGCACGAGCACGATCGGCTCCATCGAATGCGCCATCTCCTAACTTCAGAGTTCATTCAAGCCCTGATGGACTTATCATGGATCACATTTTAGCATGAAGTTCACGATGTCAACCTTCTCAACATAACTAGCCTCACTCGGTATATCATCTTCTCTCTGAATATACACACGCTCGGGTGATAAGTCTGTTACTGCATGCGTTTTTGCTGCTTGAACATTTACTAGACCTACTCTTCTTTACTACACCATTTTCCAACCAAGTTGGAACTTTTACAAACCAAGTGAACTGAGCTAAAATTGTGCGAAAACTTCAAGCAAGGTTTTTGATAGAAAAAATGCATTTCCCACAAAGCGAAATATTATGCAATCGTGTTTTCAATCAAGTGAACTCAACTTCGGGCTGACCCTTAAGCAGCAGATTGACAGTCTAACCCAAGAGGGCGCGACTGATGCCCCAATGCCGCCTGTGCTTCTACATGACGTTTATCTCGGTCGCCCTAGCGTTTACACCGTGTATGAAAGACGTACAAGGCGATTGAATATGTTTGTATTAGTGGTTGCGTGTCTCGTCGACAGAAACAAAAGGTTGCTCGCGTCACTATTTCGAGTCCGGAGGTTGCGCTCATAATTTTATTCGTCGGTCGAACATCTTGGGGTGGGCAGAATGACTCTGTGAATTACCGAGTTTAAGAAAAATCGTGCATGTACTGTACATGGTTCGTGCTGCCAGATGAAGCTGAGCGTGGAATGTGCTTTTACCTGGTATTGTGGCATTTCAAGGAATAGAAGGAGGCACTGTATTTTATTCGGCAGCGTAGTTTCCCACCGTACTCAAAGCTGATTAATGCCGAAAAAGAAGGAAAAGAGCGAATCAAGTTGCTTCAAGCGAAATGCTTCGTGGCAGGCGGCTGCATGAAGCTGAAGTAAGATACTACCACGGACGAAGCAATCTGTGCGCTCAATGAATCGATCCTATCAGTACCAAGGCTGAGCAGCATTCTTCAAAGATACGTTGGTGATGCACCACAAAATGCGCTTGACATTTTGATCGGCCGGAGTATTGATTTTATGTTTTGTTTTCAACTTGAAAATGGCCATAGATTTAGGAGGGGTATGGGTGCGACCTACGGATGGCTTAGAAAACATAATGGCTAACATGGCACCTGCGCGCCATTATTGAGATGTGAGCGGCAAAAGAATCGTGCATAATTTCATATTTTCACTTAACTACCTCAGTGGGCCGCACCACCAAAATGAGCAGTTAGCTTTCTTGTTTTAGCCCTACCTCAAATTGGAGTGGAGTTCAAAGCTGAACGGCTTAAAGGAGAGAATCTAGAAGCTGACTATATTGGAGCGGCTTATTATCAAGGGATGATGACGTCTTCTTTTCTCCAGTTGCGCACTTTAACATGAATTGACGACGTTCAGAAGATGCCGAAAATGATCAAACTAGACACTTTTCGCATAAATCATAGAATTGTACGGTACTTTAAGGTGATGTACGTGGCTCTCTCATTCGATCTGGTTTTTTGTGTCGAGATTATCACCTAGTTAATGTCCCTGATATACTGTATTTTTTAGCTATCGGCGAAAACCTACAATTGCTTTCAAGATAAGTGTAACATAGTTGTAATGTATATTTTTATAGATATGTCAAAAATGTGTATATATCGTTTACAGCATAAATGACTGTGGAATTGTCTACACCTTTGCCAATCCAAGAAGGCAGTAGTTTAAGGCAAAACAGACTGAATAACTGAAGTAACATCCATATTTCGAAAAATATTATAAAAAATAGCATTTAGAGCAATGCAAATTTAGTCCAGGGCAAAGCTCAAACCGATGGTCAGTAGCAGTCTCTCTCCAGCGGCAGCATGCCAAAGGAACCGAAGCACGGGCTTGCCACCCGCACGCGAGTGCTCGACGCGCACAGGGAAGGGCGGGACTGGATGCTAGTAGCCGACTGCAACGGCATCCCGCCCACGACAGCTCGCAGCTTCGTCGAGCGTGGAGCTGCCGGCATCAAGAAGAGAGGTGGCGCACAGGCGGCATGCATGAAGTGCACTCCAGAAATGGAGGAAGCCCTTGTCGCTTATCTCGAAGACAACTGCCAGTACACCCTCGTGCAGATGCAAGAGATGCTCGAGTTCGACTTCGGTGTTGACATCAGGACTTCCCTTATCAGTAAGAAGCTATGTGACAAGCTTTACACTGTAAAACAGGTACATGTTTACAGTCGGGTTTCATTACTATGTTTTGATCTATGCGCTGTACTAAGTATGCATGTAATTGTGCTAGGTTCGTGTTGAGCCTGAAACGTGTAACAAAGAAGTGAGCATCGAGAAGAGAAGGGAGTTCGGTGAAGCGCTGCTGCGTCATGAGAGTAATGGGTCTTTCGTCGTATATTAGGATGAGACTAATTACAATCTGTACTGCAAGCGTACGCATGGCCGCGCCACAATCGGCCGGCGCGCCGTCGTTAAGCTCCCGCCCGCTAAAGGCGCTAACTTGCAGGTGCAGTACGCGATCTCGCCTGAAGTCGGGCTCGTACACTACGTTACACGTCGTGGTAGCATCAAGATGGAGGTCAACGCAGCGTTTGTGGACGCCACGACTTATACCGCGACCACTTTGTTGGCAAGACCATTGTCATCGTCTTGGACAACGCCCCCGCCCACTGTCGGACGGAGGACCTGGTCCAAGACAGAGAGGACTTGAAGCTGTTACGTCTCGGCCCATACTCGCCGATGTGTAACCCAATTGAGGGTACGTTACGCTGGCATATTTATTGCGTGATTGCATGCCCTGTATCGACATGCGCCTCGTCAACAAAATGGCACGCCACTGCGCGCTATCTGTCGCGGCCGTTATTCGAAGTGAACCCATGGAATACGGGACGTAGATTTAGCTCTGGACTAAATCCATGTCGGTCTACACAAAAATTCGACTTTTCGATTTTGCTAAAAAAAAAAATCCTACTTACGGGACACTCGCCTTTGCCTTACACTACTGCCAACTTGAATTGGTAAATGTGTAGTAAAATACATCTTTTATAGAGACAAGCATAGGAAACTTGTATCTTTTGAGGGTATTTGCATTATTAGAATCTTTGTAACAGGGATGTTTACAATTTTCACATTCCGGCGTCTTCTAGGCATCTGGAAGCACATACAAGGAAGACAGCATGTCGTGAAACAAGACGTGGCATACTTGCCTTATCTACCCAAGGCTTCTCCCGTCGGTCAATTATGATCTGTCTCTCCAGCGAGATGATGTTGTATACGCATATTGCAAAATTTCCACCCATACGCTTTCAACATAAACATGTTTGATTTCTGTTATTGTAGTTGGGGCGGACCGTCACTTGCAGCGGCAGCGAAAAGAAACTGCTCGCCGAGCAGGTGGCGCTGGACGGGCTCAACGTGGTGTACACTACGTAGATCGGGGCGAGAATGTGCGAGGGACGTCGATCGGTGGCAAGAACTAGCCAGCTGGCTGCCGTCACGTACGTGGGGTAGCTAGAAGTTCGAAGGTTGAAGATGGAAGATGGAAGATCGCGAAGGAGACGACGCGTCCGGCGGGGACGGTGAGCAGTATGAGGACAAGTGAGGCGAGGCGGGTGAATGCCTGACCGCCCAGGTGTATAGTTTAGCGCGTCCTGGGTGTAGACTCCCGAATGGGGTGTGCCTAGAACAAACCCTAACCGGAGATAGTACACCTAGATGTACACTCCAACCGGGGTGGCGTGTGTCCTTGTGAACAATCCCTGTGGGTTCGTTTGTCTTCGTAATCAGGGGTCTTCAACCGTGGATGAGTTGTCTTGATACTTGTAGGTCGCTAGATAGCAGGGCAGAACGTAACCTTCCTGGACGTCGCCTCTGACAGCCCTCAGATAACCAAACAATACAAACCGATACAGAGTTATATACAAACACGTAGCCCTTCCTTATTCTTTGGACCGTGAAAGGGTCGGTCACTACTCCAGTCAACTCCAGCCGGACTCCGGGATACTGGTCAATCCCGGTCGGCTTTGGCTCACGCGCACCACCCTCAAGTACTGAGGGAAACTAACACAATCAAATACCTCCGATCATACAATAACGCTTAAAACAATACTTCCCACCCGGGGCTGCTCCAACCGGGGTGACAAGGTAATTGGTAATACGAAATGTGGGGCCTTCCTGGTCTGGACGAGCTCAACCGCAACTAGGAAATGGAATGGGATGGATCAACCTGGGGTTGTCACCCGGTACTCACCCCAACTTGGGCTGGACTTGGTTGCGGGAGCTCGGCCCAGATGTCACAGTTGCTGGGCCCTCACACGTAGACTTAGTCGGTCCTCCGGGAATGCACGTCCGGTAGGCTGCTCCAACTCACTTGCGCGATCCTTGGCAAAACGAACTCTGTTTACCTGTTATCTGTTATCTGTTATCTGTTCTCTCTCTCTCTCTCTCTCTCTCTCTCTCTCTCTCTCTCTCTCTCTCTCTCTCTCTCTCTCTCTCTCTCTGCATGTCTGGCTATCTCCTGTCGATCTTTACATGAACTCCATCTTGACTTGTATCTTGGCTGGTCGGCTTGGTCGGTCGAAACAATCTTGGACTTTGTATACTGGATCTTCACATCTCGGATGATCTCTTGGTATCTCCATCCGGGTTCCAGGGTTATCTCCAAACGGGATCACACTCCACCTGGGCTTTACATCCGGGATGTCTTGGACAACTCCACGGCTTCTGGGTCTTCACTCGATCCGGTCGGGCTCCTCTTGCGTTGTGCAGTGCGGCAAGGGCAGGTGGCCTCCCGTCGGAGGCACTTCTACTCTCCCTTGGGCTTTGCCTCTCGCTCGGGACTTGATTCCAGCCGGGGTCCGCTCTTGGGGATATCTCCATCCGGGATCACCAAACCTTGTACACTGCCAACGTGAGTCCGGTCGGGATCCGCTTCTCCCATACGCCACGTGTCGCTGCCTCCCTCTCCCAGAGTGAGCTTCTGAGCCAACCAATCACAGGAGCGGCTCGGGGAATTCCGGAAAATCTCCAATCCCATCGTGTCAACCGCCCCTCTTGTTACGATCCATCGTACAGTCCATTCGGCGAAACGATCGATCATGACAAGATCTCACGATCCAAGCAAGCCCAGATGGGTGGGCGCCCCAGACGGGGATGACTTCAGTCAATTCCTAACTGTCGCGTCTCTTCGTTGCGCCCTGTCTTAACCGGGTCACGTTTCATAAATTTCTCTTTCCAGTGTGTGGCAACGAAATCTCCACTCACACCGAAACCTGCGCGCCACCACTCAAGCCATGGACGCCCCCGCATCGAGCGCCGACGCGCCGCTTATCCCAGCGCAACTCTCGCCTGCTGCGCCTCCAGTGGGGGGGAGGGGTGCAGAGGCGGGCGCGGGCAAAGGCGGCGGCAGTCTGGCTGCTAGCGGCGAGGCCTATGTGCCGGCCAAGGCCGACAACCCCGCGCGCAAGGTCGACGAGCTCGAGGCCAGGCTTCGATCTGCCTGCAGCAGCAAGATGCGGTCCACGGTGACTCGCCAAGGACGGCGATGCTCGTTTTCCTACGACGATGCAGTCTTGCAATGGATCAAGCAATTGCGTCAAGGTAACATTCCGCTCAAGACGAGCCACGTGGTCATATATGTCAAAGAAGACGACGCTAGCTGGGATACTGTCTATTTAGCTCGCAATAAAGATGCCAGTCTTTACCGGCTTCTGCAGCATCTTGTTCGCCGTTAGGGATTTGCGTTTCGGAAGCCGAACCGGACAGTAATGGCTTCCGTGGACCTGGAGCACGAGCAACAGGCTTTTGCTAGCACGACTGGGGCGGCGATATCGCGTGCTCGCGCGCGCGCGTGTATTTGGAACGCCGACGAGACGGCTGTCTACTACGATGAAGAGCCCAGCACCGTCATTGCTGAGTCTGGGAGCAAGAAGGCTGCTCGGGTGCTAGGAAGGAAACGCTCGCAACGCGCAAGTGTGCTGCTCGCAAGTGTCCGCTACGGGGAAGAAGCTGAGACCGCACGTAATCTTTAAAAGCCAGCCAGGGGGCACGGTTGAGAAAGAAGTGCACGGCAAGCGCGCAGTAATTGCGTTGCAAACCAGCGGTTGGATGAATAAAAGCGTGTGGCAAGACCACGTCATTGATGGGGTATGGGGGGAGTTTGTCAGCACGGAGCAACCAGACGCGTTGGCGCTCTACCTTGACATTTTGACGTGTCATGTGTCAACAGAGTCGATTGAGGGTTTCGTAGGCTGGGGAACGGAGGTAGTCCCTTTGCCTAAAAATACGACAGGCATTCTACAACCTCTAGACGTAGGCATTATGAGTCTGTTCAAGTAGAAGCTACGCGCGCTTGCGCTAGCATCAGAGATCGAGGCCTTTCGCGACTCCAGCGCGCCGCTCAGGGAATCAGCGCTGCCGAATATGGTATTTTCATTTATTAGCGCAGATAGAGCCTCATAAATAATGCCAGGATCTTGTCATTTGTATCTGCATAAATTATGTAATGTATTCGAGCAATAAATAAATAATGTGGTGCAACTTCAACGGGTATTAGACGTACTGTTACTCACACTAATTGACGCTATCGACTGTCGAAACGTCCCAGAAGTCACCATTCTCACGCAGAAACAAAATTGTTTCCAGCGTAGCGGACTGGAGACTGTTGCGCTCTTGAGCAAACGTGGTACGCGCCACGCTGAAAACCGCTCGACCTTGTTCGAGGTCGGCGGGATGCTGGAGATGAGGTCGTAGCGGGGCGTTCGCGCCTCGAGCCGGCGACGCTTCTCGAGACGCTGGAAAAACGAGCCCTCTGGATCCTCGCCGCCATCTTCCGCACCGTTCGTGAGATAGTATCATAAATTATGAGTGTGGAATAGTAATCTGGTATCATAAATAATGGTACGGTCTAAGCCACCGCTCATAAATTATGCAATAATATTTATAACAATTACTTGAGCGTCAATTTATTTTTCGGCTGCCCTGCCGGCAATAGTTAGCCTGTCGTTTACTAGAGGTGAAAGACGATCGGTCTTAGCCGCTTTTGACGTGGGCGTCTTTTTCGCGTGGGAGTCTACTACAGGAACCTTTGATCGTTTAGCTTTTCACGAGGCTTTCAGAACAAAAAATGCTCCGTACATTAATCCATGGCCGCTCCCGAGGTACTTGCAAGCAGTGGTTCGATGCTGTGACTCGCTATAGTTTTCATTTTGTTTTTCAGGTCCATTGTTATCCTAGATAACGCAAAAATCCACATGTACCGCGAGCAGGGCTGCCGAATATGGTATTTTCATTTATTAGCGCAGATAGAGCCTCATAAATAATGCCAGGATCTTGTCATTTGTATCTGCATAAATTATGTAATGTATTCGAGCAATAAATAAATAATGTGGTGCAACTTCAACGGGTATTAGACGTACTGTTACTCACACTAATTGACGCTATCGACTGTCGAAACGTCCCAGAAGTCACCATTCTCACGCAGAAACAAAATTGTTTCCAGCGTAGCGGACTGGAGACTGTTGCGCTCTTGAGCAAACGTGGTACGCGTCACGCTGAAAACCGCTCGACCTTGTTCGAGGTCGGCGGGATGCTGGAGATGAGGTCGTAGCGGGGCGTTCGCGCCTCGAGCCGGCGACGCTTCTCGAGACGCTGGAAAAACGAGCCCTCTGGATCCTCGCCGCCGTCTTCCGCACCGTTCGTGAGATAGTATCATAAATTATGAGTGTGGAATAGTAATCTGGTATCATAAATAATGGTACGGTCTAAGCCACCGCTCATAAATTATGCAATAATATTTATAACAATTACTTGAGCGTCAATTTATTTTTCGGCTGCCCTGCCGGCAATAGTTAGCCTGCCGTTTACTAGAGGTGAAAGACGATCGGTCTTAGCCGCTTTTGACGTGGGCGCCTTTTTCGCGTGGGAGTCTACTACAGGAACCTTTGATCGTTTAGCTTTTCACGAGGCTTTCAGAACAAAAAATGCTCCGTACATTAATCCATGGCCGCTCCCGAGGTACTTGCAAGCAGTGGTTCGATGCTGTGACTCGCTATAGTTTTCATTTTGTTTTTCAGGTCCATTGTTATCCTAGATAACGCAAAAATCCACATGTACCGCGAGCAGGGCTGCCGAATATGGTATTTTCATTTATTAGCGCAGATAGAGCCTCATAAATAATGCCAGGATCTTGTCATTTGTATCTGCATAAATTATGTAATGTATTCGAGCAATAAATAAATAATGTGGTGCAACTTCAACGGGTATTAGACGTACTGTTACTCACACTAATTGACGCTATCGACTGTCGAAACGTCCCAGAAGTCACCATTCTCACGCAGAAACAAAATTGTTTCCAGCGTAGCGGACTGGAGACTGTTGCGCTCTTGAGCAAACGTGGTACGCGCCACGCTGAAAACCGCTCGACCTTGTTCGAGGTCGGCGGGATGCTGGAGATGAGGTCGTAGCGGGGCGTTCGCGCCTCGAGCCGGCGACGCTTCTCGAGACGCTGGACAAACGAGCCCTCTGGATCCTCGCCGCCGTCTTCCGCACCGTTCGTGAGATAGTATCATAAATTATGAGTGTGGAATAGTAATCTGGTATCATAAATAATGGTACGGTCTAAGCCACCGCTCATAAATTATGCAATAATATTTATAACAATTACTTGAGCGTCAATTTATTTTTCGGCTGCCCTGCCGGCAATAGTTAGCCTGCCGTTTACTAGAGGTGAAAGACGATCGGTCTTAGCCGCTTTTGACGTGGGCGCCTTTTTCGCGTGGGAGTCTACTACAGGAACCTTTGATCGTTTAGCTTTTCACGAGGCTTTCAGAACAAAAAATGCTCCGTACATTAATCCATGGCCGCTCCCGAGGTACTTGCAAGCAGTGGTTCGATGCTGTGACTCGCTATAGTTTTCATTTTGTTTTTCAGGTCCATTGTTATCCTAGATAACGCAAAAAATCCACATGTACCGCGAGCAGGGCTGCCGAATATGGTATTTTCATTTATTAGCGCAGATAGAGCCTCATAAATAATGCCAGGATCTTGTCATTTGTATCTGCATAAATTATGTAATGTATTCGAGCAATAAATAAATAATGTGGTGCAACTTCAACGGGTATTAGACGTACTGTTACTCACACTAATTGACGCTATCGACTGTCGAAACGTCCCAGAAGTCACCATTCTCACGCAGAAACAAAATTGTTTCCAGCGTAGCGGACTGGAGACTGTTGCGCTCTTGAGCAAACGTGGTACGCGCCACGCTGAAAACCGCTCGACCTTGTTCGAGGTCGGCGGGATGCTGGAGATGAGGTCGTAGCGGGGCGTTCGCGCCTCGAGCCGGCGACGCTTCTCGAGACGCTGGACAAACGAGCCCTCTGGATCCTCGCCGCCGTCTTCCGCACCGTTCGTGAGATAGTATCATAAATTATGAGTGTGGAATAGTAATCTGGTATCATAAATAATGGTACGGTCTAAGCCACCGCTCATAAATTATGCAATAATATTTATAACAATTACTTGAGCGTCAATTTATTTTTCGGCTGCCCTGCCGGCAATAGTTAGCCTGCCGTTTACTAGAGGTGAAAGACGATCGGTCTTAGCCGCTTTTGACGTGGGCGCCTTTTTCGCGTGGGAGTCTACTACAGGAACCTTTGATCGTTTAGCTTTTCACGAGGCTTTCAGAACAAAAAATGCTCCGTACATTAATCCATGGCCGCTCCCGAGGTACTTGCAAGCAGTGGTTCGATGCTGTGACTCGCTATAGTTTTCATTTTGTTTTTCAGGTCCATTGTTATCCTAGATAACGCAAAAATCCACATGTACCGCGAGCAGGGCTGCCGAATATGGTATTTTCATTTATTAGCGCAGATAGAGCCTCATAAATAATGCCAGGATCTTGTCATTTGTATCTGCATAAATTATGTAATGTATTCGAGCAATAAATAAATAATGTGGTGCAACTTCAACGGGTATTAGACGTACTGTTACTCACACTAATTGACGCTATCGACTGTCGAAACGTCCCAGAAGTCACCATTCTCACGCAGAAACAAAATTGTTTCCAGCGTAGCGGACTGGAGACTGTTGCGCTCTTGAGCAAACGTGGTACGCGCCACGCTGAAAACCGCTCGACCTTGTTCGAGGTCGGCGGGATGCTGGAGATGAGGTCGTAGCGGGGCGTTCGCGCCTCGAGCCGGCGACGCTTCTCGAGACGCTGGAAAAACGAGCCCTCTGGATCCTCGCCGCCGTCTTCCGCACCGTTCGTGAGATAGTATCATAAATTATGAGTGTGGAATAGTAATCTGGTATCATAAATAATGGTACGGTCTAAGCCACCGCTCATAAATTATGCAATAATATTTATAACAATTACTTGAGCGTCAATTTATTTTTCGGCTGCCCTGCCGGCAATAGTTAGCCTGTCGTTTACTAGAGGTGAAAGACGATCGGTCTTAGCCGCTTTTGACGTGGGCGTCTTTTTCGCGTGGGAGTCTACTACAGGAACCTTTGATCGTTTAGCTTTTCACGAGGCTTTCAGAACAAAAAATGCTCCGTACATTAATCCATGGCCGCTCCCGAGGTACTTGCAAGCAGTGGTTCGATGCTGTGACTCGCTATAGTTTTCATTTTGTTTTTCAGGTCCATTGTTATCCTAGATAACGCAAAAATCCACATGTACCGCGAGCAGGGCTGCCGAATATGGTATTTTCATTTATTAGCGCAGATAGAGCCTCATAAATAATGCCAGGATCTTGTCATTTGTATCTGCATAAATTATGTAATGTATTCGAGCAATAAATAAATAATGTGGTGCAACTTCAACGGGTATTAGACGTACTGTTACTCACACTAATTGACGCTATCGACTGTCGAAACGTCCCAGAAGTCACCATTCTCACGCAGAAACAAAATTGTTTCCAGCGTAGCGGACTGGAGACTGTTGCGCTCTTGAGCAAACGTGGTACGCGTCACGCTGAAAACCGCTCGACCTTGTTCGAGGTCGGCGGGATGCTGGAGATGAGGTCGTAGCGGGGCGTTCGCGCCTCGAGCCGGCGACGCTTCTCGAGACGCTGGAAAAACGAGCCCTCTGGATCCTCGCCGCCGTCTTCCGCACCGTTCGTGAGATAGTATCATAAATTATGAGTATGGAATAGTAATCTGGTATCATAAATAATGGTACGGTCTAAGCCACCGCTCATAAATTATGCAATAATATTTATAACAATTACTTGAGCGTCAATTTATTTTTCGGCTGCCCTGCCGGCAATAGTTAGCCTGTCGTTTACTAGAGGTGAAAGACGATCGGTCTTAGCCGCTTTTGACGTGGGCGCCTTTTTCGCGTGGGAGTCTACTACAGGAACCTTTGATCGTTTAGCTTTTCACGAGGCTTTCAGAACAAAAAATGCTCCGTACATTAATCCATGGCCGCTCCCGAGGTACTTGCAAGCAGTGGTTCGATGCTGTGACTCGCTATAGTTTTCATTTTGTTTTTCAGGTCCATTGTTATCCTAGATAACGCAAAAAATCCACATGTACCGCGAGCAGGGCTGCCGAATATGGTATTTTCATTTATTAGCGCAGATAGAGCCTCATAAATAATGCCAGGATCTTGTCATTTGTATCTGCATAAATTATGTAATGTATTCGAGCAATAAATAAATAATGTGGTGCAACTTCAACGGGTATTAGACGTACTGTTACTCACACTAATTGACGCTATCGACTGTCGAAACGTCCCAGAAGTCACCATTCTCACGCAGAAACAAAATTGTTTCCAGCGTAGCGGACTGGAGACTGTTGCGCTCTTGAGCAAACGTGGTACGCGCCACGCTGAAAACCGCTCGACCTTGTTCGAGGTCGGCGGGATGCTGGAGATGAGGTCGTAGCGGGGCGTTCGCGCCTCGAGCCGGCGACGCTTCTCGAGACGCTGGACAAACGAGCCCTCTGGATCCTCGCCGCCGTCTTCCGCACCGTTCGTGAGATAGTATCATAAATTATGAGTGTGGAATAGTAATCTGGTATCATAAATAATGGTACGGTCTAAGCCACCGCTCATAAATTATGCAATAATATTTATAACAATTACTTGAGCGTCAATTTATTTTTCGGCTGCCCTGCCGGCAATAGTTAGCCTGCCGTTTACTAGAGGTGAAAGACGATCGGTCTTAGCCGCTTTTGACGTGGGCGCCTTTTTCGCGTGGGAGTCTACTACAGGAACCTTTGATCGTTTAGCTTTTCACGAGGCTTTCAGAACAAAAAAATGCTCCGTACATTAATCCATGGCCGCTCCCGAGGTACTTGCAAGCAGTGGTTCGATGCTGTGACTCGCTATAGTTTTCATTTTGTTTTTCAGGTCCATTGTTATCCTAGATAACGCAAAAATCCACATGTACCGCGAGCAGGGCTGCCGAATATGGTATTTTCATTTATTAGCGCAGATAGAGCCTCATAAATAATGCCAGGATCTTGTCATTTGTATCTGCATAAATTATGTAATGTATTCGAGCAATAAATAAATAATGTGGTGCAACTTCAACGGGTATTAGA